GTTAAGAACAAGTTCACAACAGCTGAGCTCTGGGACTCCAAGCCAGCAACAAGCATTGGTCATTTATAGTTACAGGTTATAGCAGTGATTTAATACAGTGACAATCAACAGATTACAAAATAATAATAATTAAAAAAAAATAAAGAGTAACAACTTCCACTGATCTTCATGACATGTGGTTCAGAGGAGGATCATGATTTTTTGACTGGTAACCGCTAATTCAACACGACGATTGCTAATATAACAGAGTGGCATATGTATCTTGTAAGCTTAATTCTTTAAGGACTCAAAAGAAGATAAATGTCCAAAGTCACAGGTTAAAACAACCAGGCGTAAATAAGCACAGATAGCATCTCACAGTAGCATCGCGATAAGGGGGGTATTATGATTGAATTGTGATAAAAAAGTTTGCAGGCTGCGTCAGGTTAAACTGCAAGCTAGGCTACCCGACCCGTTGACAATTTTTTTTAATGAATTTTGCTCCATTTTGACAGTTTTCTGAGTGTTTGCTTACCTATATACTAGTAATTTAGTCTGAATTTAGATTTCTGTTAAACCAACTAGGAAATGATTCGCCTAGTAACATCCCTCGTTTCAAGCAAGCCTAAATAGTTGATTTTAAAATTTGTCCAGCCTCTGACAAGGCAAATTGCAAATCTAACGTTAGGACTTAGGGGTGGGCAGCAGATTTGAAGGGGGGCACACACCACCCCTGGCCACTCCCTGTATCCTCTCCTACCATGTCCAAAAACCTGTAAGAACCCATTCAGCAACTCAGTTATATTCATGATTAATAAGCTGTGTGTTTTCGAAGAATACCTGCATCATTTCATTTCTGCAACCAAAACATAGTGATGATGATATGTTGTAAACAAAACTTGTGTCAACCACCACTCAATGTACATTCCACAGACTCCTCATACATGAAGTACTCAACTGAGCCAAGTGACTGCAACTTACAAAAAAAAAATACCTTGAGCTGAAAACATGGAAACGTCATGTGTCAGTGTCACATAAAATGACTAAACACAGTGTCTTGTTTCCATCACAGCACCAGCGACTGCCCAGCTGGTAATTAGGGTTTGTTTGGCTGATTGAGCCGTGTCATGTTAGAGGTGGAGTGAAGAACCAAACGTTTCTCCAGGCCCCGTAATGACAAGCTACGACTGCCCTGAAATGACATCTGGCTCACACACATTTACACTCACACACATCTGTGACCGTTCAGATGCATCTTCCGTCTTAAGTTTGTTTAAGTCTCAAAAGTACTCATTGAAGGGAAAAGTTGTGGTTTTCAAAGTCTATATACCGAAACAGACTTTACGTGTGTGTTAGTTTGTGTTCAACATATATCTGTATGTGTCTACAAGTGTTAATTGTGACATAAACCAATTAGGAACCCACAATGATGACAGAGCTGTTGTAAATTTAAAGTGGTGGGGAAAAATTCTTCTTTATGAAATATTACACTAATGATCAAAGACACAATCGAGCGTGTGATTCTCATGCAAAAAGAAAAAGAAAAAAAAGATAATAATAGTGTCTGAAGCTCGGAACAAAACATTTCATTAAAGTTTATTATTTTAACTGTCATCCAGCCAAAAAAAATGCAATGTCACATAAGCCAGTCTCATAAAGAACTCCTGAAAATATCTAGATAATTTGAGGGGGACTTTTTATATGCTCCTCACAGCTGGAGACTATCCCTGTCAGACAGGAGGGGGGTCGCCCGGGGTCTCCTGAGGTAACACGTGGCATTAAAAAAAAAAGACTTGGAATTGAGGAAAAAGCAACAGAGTCTGATATACGACTTTTTTATGAGAATATTTGCCTTTATATCAGTGCTATGTGTAGTTCCAAGGAATCACATTATCAACAACAGAGCGGAGAGCAACATAGTGACAAACACAAAACATAATGCAGCCATTTAATGACACGCATGGAGATCTTAGCAGTCGCGTGCGCTGTGTTATGCCGTTATAACCAGCCGTTATTACGTCAATGGAATGTATATTTTTCCATCCATACCAAAGAATGCTGTTTATGTTGTGATTAAAGGTGTTACATATAAGCTCTATTGTAATATCTAATTTTAACATCATGTCTGATTATTAGACAGTTTTTGTTTTTTTTCGGTCCAGGTGCAATTTTTTTTTCGGTTCACAAAATGCTCTCCACACTTGGACACATTAATTATTCACAGAGAAAAACATCAGCTAAAAACTTCCAGCTGCTGGCTTCACAATGCACCCAAAATGAATCCTCCACAGAAATGTGCTCCACAGCCCGGAGCTGGAGAATGTGATCATACAGTAGTTCACTCAGTTGACTATACATTGGTTCGTGTTTTAATCTTTAACAGTGTAATGCTAGAGTCCTGAAAAAAAAAAACTACCTTCATTAGGGTTAAGATATACAGTAGTGTTGACGTTTCCTAAATCTTTTAGATTGGTTATATTTGAGGCACTTGGTGTATAGTGAAATGCACTGAAGTTAATTTATATCGTCATGTTTACCACATTCATATCAATAAGAAAAGACTAAAGAAACATGCACCTCTCTATATCTGGATTACGTTAGCAACATTAATGGATTTTACGATTGTTTTGAAAAATCAAACGCTTAATCCAGTATTTATGAAGCCTTTCCTGCTCACTGACATGCAACACTTCAACAACGTGTTACGATCAAAGACATCGTGAGGGCGATCCATTTATCCCAACTTAAAGTACTTTTTAATATCTATAACAATTGTCATATGTTTTTGTTTACTGTCTAATGTTTTTCATTATAGAAGACGTGGATGGAAATGAATATCATGTCACATGTTGGACTGAATGTTTGTGTAAACATATGTGAGGACTACAACTAAAACATAAGTGTAAGCAGACTTCAGGCCTTCTCCTCCGGCAGCAATTGGTAACTAAACTGATATTTAAGGGCCTTCCCAGGACACTCACACAACCTGTAAATGCATCAGGAAGAGCAGAGGAGGTCAAGGCGCGAACAAAGATCCAGCAGGAAAGATGAACAGCTGCACAGGGAACTTCAGAGTGCTGTTAGAAAATACCTTTTAGAACTGATTCATCTTGTGCGTCAGGCCAGCAAACACAAACAACGCAGTGTAATACAGGTTAAAAAAAAAAAAGAAGAAGATTAACTCGAACGATTCGCTGACTTGCTCTTTGGCCACAAAGAGTTACAATGAAACCTAACAAGCAACTGACTCTGACCTCAGCCTCAGTGAATCAGGGCCATGCTGTTTGATTTCTAGACCTCACCAACGGACAAAAGCAGAATTGTCTTTATAGCTGCACATCAGCTGACAAAGCTTTGTGGTGACAGACGACTGAGCATGTTTGTTTTTAAAGGTACAGATGATAACACCAGCCTGGAAAGCTCTGGTTAAACAGAGGGCTGGTCTGCTCTGGGCTGTCCAGGGTTTGCATGGCAGCTCATATTATTCACAAGTTTTTAATGCTCCTTATAAGTAGTAACTGCTTATACTATGCTAGAAAGTCAACCAGGAGAGTTTTTGATAAACTTCCTCAGGAGTTTGGCCTCTTATTAAATCATGATGATCAATACAACAATTGTATGATTTTTTTTTAAAGCACTTCAAAGACTTCCATTTAGGCTTAGAGTAACTATATTTGCCAGACAGTTTTTTGTGATACAAGACATCTATGAGTAAATCTCTTCAGTGAGGATCATTTCATTACAGTTTTGTCTGAAGAAGTGAAGCACCGGTGTCCCAGTTAAAAAGCTGCATCTGCCAAATGGCAGGTAATGGGCATGCAGTGGTGCATGTGTATCTATGGTGCCACATCAATTTCATGCTGGCAAGCCATTAAATCCCACTGCTGATTCAGAGAAGAGTGTTTTTTTTTCTTATTGGGCAGAAGAAGTCACCTGTTTTCATGATCAAAGGTTAAAGAAAAAGGTCGGCAGTGTTTGAGTCTTAAACCGTCTCTGAGAAAGATCAGCGACACGCAGTTTGCGAGACAGCTTCATGTGACATTTCAAGAGGAGGAACTGCTCGCAACAATACCAGTACATCAAAATCTCATTTGAAAAAAAAAAAGACAAAACATTGGTTTCGGCATCGCATCTCTACTTTAAAGTCACCATCAGGTTTAGTTGTGGTTCAAATAGTGATTTGAAAGGAGCGTTTCAGATTTTTTTTGATTTTTTTAAATGACAATAGCGTGGAAAATATGGTTAGAAAGAAGCTAATGTAATGTATATCGTGTGCATATTTTTTCACCTCAATGGTTGCACATACGTTTATGTGTGTCTCTTCATAAACACTGTTCTTGAAACTGTGAGCCTTTCCACAAGAAACTGCAGTCAAAACCCCTTATATGAATACACAAACGGAGCCAATAATGCCAACTCTGATCATTGAAGTCACACCAAATGTTGGACAACTTGCAATGCAGTGAAGTCCTGCATGACTTCTTATGTCTCTAAACAGAGAATCCTAGAGAAAACACAGTCTCATTCATAAGTTACCAAAACATAACCACATCTAGTCTTATTTCACTTGACTGTAACCTGCTCCCCGTCCTGTAGGATGGACAGGGACACCTTATCAACACTAAACAGCATCACACACGTACCCAACGCACTCATGACTGTGAGTTCGAGAGACACATTTCACACACCCTCTCTGCCTCTTGATGTCTTGTAATGTAAGCTGATGGGAACAAATGTGCTGACAGCTTCAGAGGACAGTACACTGTGCACTTGAGCGCTCAAATTCACCCGCCTTTGTCTGATGTGCCTTATCAGTAACACACACACACAAACTCTTTAGTCCAGTGTTGGTGGAACACAACTCTGAGAGGAATTCAGATGTGTCTTTGTCACACACACATGTATGCGTCTCAATTTTGTCAATGCTCCTACTGTGAGAGCACATGCAACAAAACTGCTTATGGATCAATGCCAATCAAATGACCCTCGTTAAGTAGCCTTAAGGACAGTCATTTACTCACATTTCAGAGCCTGGATGAGCGCCTTGCCGTCTTTTATCAGCTCCTTGATGAACTTGTTGGTCTTGTCCAGCTCCAGCTCGTGGGACTTGAGTCTCTCCCTGAACTGTGGACTGTCCAGGTAACAGTCACTGAACTCCAGAGCAGGTAGTCCCATCTTCGTCTCCTGCTAAAACCACAACAACCTGGGCCGCCCGGCGAAGAGCTCCGAACAAGAGAAGGAGGAACAAGAATAGGAGGAGGAGGTGGTGGAGGAGGAGGAGGAGGGAGGAGGAGGAAACCCCGAGCTACTGCTGCTGCTGCTGCTGCTGCTGCTGCTGCTTCTGGAAATGATGGACAATCCAATTACAACATGTAAACAAGGGTGGAGGTGTATGCGAGAGAGATGCCTACCTACATAACCTAGGTTTTTACAGTAGGCTATGCGGTACACACATAAGTTGAATGGCAGCAGTCCGACACACCACCCAACTCAATGAGATTAAAAAGTCACAGCAGAATAATTCTGAAGAGGAAACAAGTGTCCACTTGCTCAGGTAAACCGGTGCTGCATTCCACTCGACAGGGTCATTGTGGACCGGACAGTCACCCAGGGCGAGGAGGATGAGGTGGAGGAGGGAGAAAAGAGAGGGAGGCAGCCAAAAAAAACAAAACTAGCCTCGTAAATGCGGTGTCTCCCCCTGAGCGGTTTTAAATGCACTGCTTTTTTAACTCCACGGCCCCGCTCAGCTCAACGCGGCTCTTCACTGTAATCAACCTACCCCGACACGGATAATCTCCCCGCCCCCCCCCTCCCTGATTGACGTCTCACTCGGCCAATGAGAAGGCCGGGATGGAGCGCTAACCGTCCGGGGCGGGTTTGTAGGGAGTTACTCCAAATCAGAGATAGAAAAATAAGGCAGATGGGTCACTCTGATGTTGGGGAAAGAAAATCAGCAGCTTTTAATAGTTTAGTCTTAAGTTCTGCATCTCCTTGGCGTGCAATGCTTTGACGCAAGTTCTGAAGTTAATTTACCATTTTTTTACTCGTACTTTAGGAGTTTGTATTAATATTAGGCTACTTCTGGCTACCTGATTCCAGGGGGAAATATTAACTTTTTATTCCAATTCACCTGTTATGGCCAGTTAATGTATAGATACAATAATATACAACAACAACAACAACAACAACAACAACAACAACAACAACAACAATAATAATCATAATCATATTACTGGTAGCCTATATTAACGATATGTTGGCTACCAATAACTGTATAAAGTCATTCAACATAACCTCACTACTGTATAGTAGTAGTAGAGTTAAACACGCATAATTATTCATGTTTAGCACAGCATAATGTTCACGTCTGGTGCATTGAGATAATCATACAAATAAAGTTGAAGATAAGCACATGCACAGTAGCCTACTTAAAAAAAAGGCGAAGATGACTTCCTTCTAAAATAATAATATTAATAATAATAATAATAATAAAGTGGCCTTGTAGCCAAAACGAATACAGTTGTAGCATAATGTGCAATTCTTGACTCTTTTTCTCCCCAAAACAAATAGTTTAGATGGCCTGTGGGGGTAAAAAAAAAAAAAATCAGATGTGAAGGGTGGGCTATTGAGTAATCAGAATCAGAATCAGCTTTATTGGCCATGTATGCTTACACACACACACACATAATTTGTCTTCAGTAACTGTGCTTTCAATGTACAAAGTTTAACATAAATATAATATAAGCAAAAATAACACTAATATGTAAAAGGCTAAATAAGACAGCAAGTGCAGTGGTGAATAGTGCAAAAAAAATGCTGAGATGAACATGATAATAAATATATAGTTATGTAACAAATGGTTAATACATATGAGGTAGAGTTTGGTTTTTTTAAGCGAAAAAAAGACTTTTTTTTAGACTTATGTTGATCAAACACTTTAAGCATCGAATAATCATGTTGAGAAATTTTCTAAATTTCATTTTACGAGGTTCCTCAGTCAGTGGCATTTCGGAAGTGGAGGGAATTCATCCCAAGCACGAAGGACCAAATATTTGTTAATCATTACATCTTACCCATCATAGACAATCTTTGAATGCAGCGAGCAGAGAGAGATCCTGGCTCGTGGGAGGAGCCGGTGATGTCATTTCACGTAGAGCGGGGAATTTCTGTGGATGGGAATCTGCCTTGGATTAAAGACTTTATCACTCTCTGGTGCCCTCTGCTGACACTACACTACGTTGCAAAAAAAATATTTAACCGCCAATTTTATGTGACACTTCTCATTCTAAAAAACTAATGGTTCATATTTCAATGGAACAAAAATGATATTTGAAGTTGTGATGCAATAGCGAAGTCATATAGCCTAACAAATTGTACCTCTAAATTTCAAACTAAAAGACAAACCAGAAAAAGATAGACCATAGGGTTGCCTCCCGTCCCGTAAAATACGCAATCGTCCCGTATTTTACACTTTGATATTGCGTCCCGTTTGGAATCAGTGCGGGACGCGGTTTGTTCCCGTATTTCCAAGATGCCTTGAACTCAGCATCATTCTGCCGGCTAGTTCCCGCCTCCTCGGAGCGTCCGTTGGTTTGTTTGGTTGATTTTTGGCATGAGCAATGAGAGCTCGTCAGTGATTGGGTGAGAGAAAGTCATAGGAGTCAGAAGGAAACATGTCTGCAGCTGCCTCTGATACGTGAGTAGACGTGAGTAGAAAGTAATGCCTGGCTTGACAGTGTCAGTGAAAATGAATATAATGTAAAGGAAACTATTGCAGGCCTACTTAATATATTTTCTCCCATGTTTATAGATAGGCTAGGTTATTCCAGTAGCCTACAGTTTGGATAGTGTGAATATTTTTCGGTACGTAAAACAAAAAGATGACATTTATTTTAGCCAAATCTGTATTCACACTATGGCCTGGGCGAGATATCATCAATACAACATCAATATATCGACAGAAGACACTTAATTAATACAATAAGAAAATAGTTCAAAACCATATTAATAGTATCATTCATGATTTCATGAGAAAACAACAAAAACGAAAGAAAGAAGGACAGAATAAATGAATAAAAATACTATTAAATTCGTACCGTTTATTTAATTAAAAATCTGTCATCCTCCTCTCTATGTTACAGCAGTGTCAAAAGTACTTCAATAATACTCTGCTAATGAATTAATGTTAAGTTAATAACTTTATTTGAAGTTTAAGTTAAGTTGTAAATTAGATCGGTCTAGCTCGTAGTAAGAATAGAATTACTTTATTGATCCCAAACTGGGAAATTGTGGTAAGCATCTGCTGAAGTCCTGTTAGGTGCATTTCATTGTGCAGACATTACTGTATCTGCCTTTACACTGAACTTTTGTGTTTCTGTAAATTATTTCAGAAAAAAAAAAGTGTTAATAAAGCACTTAAAACTTTAAGTATGACTCTTATTACTTCATTAAACCCACGTTTTAAATCATGATTCATGATTCACCACAACTGGTGCCCCACACCGTTGGGCCAGTGGTGGTCAGGCCCCTGCTGAGTTGCACCCCGCTGCGGGGTGTCCTTTATTCTTCTGCTTGGAAGGTGGCAACCCTAACCATAAACCTACTACTCAAATAATAGGCAAATAACCTGAGCAGCCTATCTGCTTGGACAGCATTACACAAACGTATTGTATTCACAGGATAATGCAGTGACAGTACTGCTTATTTGCCATCTAAATAATAACACATTTATATAAATTTGGAACACAACATGCATGCCATTGACACATGCACAGTTTGTTCTTGTGGTTATTGTGTGAAAACAGCTCCGATTTAGCGCGCCACTTCCTCTGTAAAAGCACAGCACAGGCACAGCGTCTGCTCACTTGCTTATATCTCTCCATCAGTCACAGTGTGGTGTAGTCTCTAATGATAGCCATTGACAGGAAGTCACTGAATGCTGTTCGCATGAAGTTTAAAATGCAGAAATGCTCGTTCAGACTTGACAATTTGTATAGTCAGGTTTATGTGCTGAAAAAGGTAGCTGCATTTGTCGTTCACACTTTAACGTTGGCTGCTCTTGTAAATCAATAGTACCAACTTTATAAAAGAGAAAGACGAAAATCACTGCAAACACTGTAATAACTGCCTGAAGCACTGGAGGGAAACTTGACTTATTCAAATGGTTAAGCCCTAAAGTTTCAGCATGTCATCAGTTCTTGAACCAGAATACAGTTCACCCTTTAACATGCTGCATAAACTGAATTATTGTAAATATTTGCATATAAAAAGGCTTTCCTCCTTTCTCAGGAGCTTTTCACCCAATCCAACGTGGTTTTACTTTCAAATAATAATCCTGACCTCTGGCTTCTTTCTAAAAAATCCACTCAATGAAAGTACAACTGTACTCTGTACATAATATAAAAAGAATTAAGTGCATGACATTTGTTGACAATATGAAAAATGTAACAAACCCCCGAAAAAGAGTAACATTCATGAATATAATGAGTTTATTTCTTTTCTAAGTTCAACATGGTTTAGAGGCTCTTAAATGACTGAATGGTTTGGAGGACTCACCTGCCTCATTTCTTTATAGGACTGTCATCAAATATAAATTATTGTTGGTTTCCACAGTTCATTGATTTGACCAGGCAGAGATCATTTGAGGTTCTTTGTATCATAGCAACTGCTTAATGAATGAATGAGTGATGTGAAGCAGTCACATACCACTGAGAGTTTTAACAAGCCTGAGCTGTTTTCCTATTTTTGTTTTTGGTTTGTTTGTTTAAGAAGAAACTAGTTGACATTGAGAATAACTAGCTCAGTAGCTTAGTAAGTACTTGGTATGGGAACCAAAGGGGTCGCTAGTTCAAGTCCTGTTACGGACTCAGGATGGAATCGGACTGGTAGTTGGAGAGGTGCCAGTTTACCTCTTGAGCACTGCAGATGTTCCCTTGATCAAGGCACCTCACCCCCAGCTCCTCAGTCCAGGACAGCCCCATCACCCTGACATCTTTCCATAAATACATGTCTCAGCCCTTTCTTTGTATGTGTGTATTTCAGGCCTGCGTATGCGTGTAGCATGTCTCACAGTAACAGAGTGAAAAGTTGTAATTTCCTCTCAGGAAATAATAAAGTATATTAAATTAACAAAAGTTCTAGTGCAGAGTTCTAAATAGTCAGACTCAAAACAAAAAAAAACAACAGGACTGAAAGAAAACTAGCGACCTTGAGTATAGTGCAGTTCATTCTTTGCAGTTTTCACCTGATGCATGAGGGGTTATTACAGCTATGGTCTGACCTGTATGTTTCCCTCTGCTGTTTGTCCCTCCTCCCCTTCCGTTGTCTTCAGCTCTGCCCAGGTGAAGCTGATGATCCCCTAAGGAGGTGCACCTGGCCTCAATGCTTAAAGGCACAGTGCTTGCTTCAGACAGAGAGAGGCTTTAGGAGCTGGGACTGCTGTGCTGTGGAGTTGTGAGTTCATCTTTGTTTAATGATTTAGTTTGTCTGTTAATAATAAATCCTTTGGTTTTGACTTTGGTAAGGTGTATAATGTGTTTTTTGGGTCAATTTGAGTGTTTGTAGTTAGCCCCATATGGCCGCCTTGTGGTGGGGTATAACACTGATATTTTTCCATGCTGTGCAAAGGAGAAATGATGTAAGTGTTTTTTGCTGAAAAGTAACCTTTTTCTTTTGCTTTCCTTTCTTGAGAAAAAGGCTGAGGTGAAGTTGTGTAACCGCAGGGATGAATTTCCATGATAAGAAGATGGAGACAATGTAACCGCTGTGAAAAATTCCCCCAGACTCCTGCCCGTCTCGGCTGTTTATTATCGTGGAATTGCGAGACAGACATTGAAAGAGTCCAAAAATAGATCTGAGATTCTTGGAAGGCATTTCCACAGTTTAGAAATGGCAACAATCCTAAGTACATACTGAAGATATAGTCCAGCTGACTGCTTTCACTTAGAGGATCACCATTTAGAAGACTGCTTTGGAAAATGCTTTTGCAAAATTATGAATTATTAACCAGTACCATCCTTTTTCATCTTTAACATTTAAAATGATTCTGTCACCACAAAAAAGGTTAACTCTATCTGGATTTATTGCTTGATGTAACCGTTTAAAGCCAGAGTGTAATCTGTGTACAAACAGAAACTGTCCAGGAAATGTGTGCCTTTTTTTTTTTTTACGCTGATGATGAAGCTTCCAGTTACTAAACTGCAACCTGAGAGGCAGAGTGACTCTTCACTGACGTCCACGTCCTTTTTTCAAAAATAGAACACTAACTGTGCTTTTCATGTATGAAGAATTGCAGCAGAAATGGCACACCATCATCGCTTACATCATACTATGACTGTGCCTGCTTTCATGAATTCAGTACTCAATATTTAGCAAAGTTCCAGTGGAATTGAATAACTGCCTTTAAGAGGCAGAAACCTCGAGCAAAACCAGACTCATGAGGAACAGCCATCTGCAGCAACAATTTTGAACTTTGAAGGCATGTGAAGCAGGCTTTGTACCAACGTTTTCAATCACACTGTTTCTCCTGGGTTGAGCCACGAGACTTACTGAAGAGGAATTCTGGGAACTGAAGAGGTCCTGTGTGTTACAGTTTGAAATGTATCTCTCTCTCTCTCTCTCTCTCTCTCTCTCTCTCTGTATGTTGCCCCACTAAACATTGAGATTCATGATTACATTTCCTTATTTCATGTTTTTATTTATTTATTGTTATTCTGGTATTATTGAGTGCTTCATAAATTACAGAGTCAATTTAACTTTTATTGTTTCCACCTCCCTGTCAGGAATGGTCACCTTAACTGTAGATTTAACTCTCTAAGATTGTGTCAACGGCAGGCAAAATAGTGAGAAAACCACAAAAACCTCCATCTCAATTATGGACTGATATGACAATGAAGAGAGCGAGGAGTATCCCAGCAGATAATTCCCAACCTCTCTTCTTCCGGTTTGAGCCTTTGAGCTGTAGGAGGCGCTATATAGAGTCCGTCTGGCAATTAAAATATCTTACAACATGACTCTGCTCGCTTATCTGTGTTACTGACTGGCTGAATGTGTTTATACTGTTTTATTTATCTGGAGAGCCTAGAACAGATTTCCACCTCTGGTGGACAATAAAGATTTGATCTATTCTGTTCTATGCTAGGCACGTTGTGTATTAAAAGTGTTAAACAAATAAAGTCTGATGGCTCTTATCTTTGGAAATACTGTGTTGCTTTTAGTGGACATGACCGTAAGAATGGGTCAGAATTCAAACAGACTGCCCTGCTCATTTCCAGGCTCTCACGGCCTGGATGCTTACAGTCTGTCTTGCTCACTTCTCCTCTGGTAATTTTAGTCTTGACGTTAGCCTGTTAAAATGACTCCTCTGACGTTATTAGAAGGGTGGTGAGGTAAGTAGGGGGGTGGGCTACAAATACAGACATACCAACTAAAGACTCCAAAGGCTGGCCACTTCTCTGGTGGAGACAAGGACAAAAAAAAATTCCCCACAGAAGAAAAAATAGAAAAGATCATTTCACAGGAAAAATACAGTAAAACAGAAAAAGAAGGACATGCTGGTTCATCTGGGGGGCTGTCACATGACTTTCTCACAGGTAGGAGACTGATTCACAGGATGACAGGAGTCTTTGTGTATTTGTGTGGGGTCTGTTATGTTTTGTTAATTAAGGTAAGTTTAAGTTACCAAAGCTGGTTCTCTTCAGCATCCATTAACTGTTTCTTTTTTTAAACATATGGCTTTCAATGAGAAACAACATTGTTATTACCAGCAGAATTTAACTCAGAATTTGCCCAGACATGTTCCTCTTCAACCTTCAACTATCTCCCTCACCAATCCAAAACACACACATACACACACACACACACACACACAGGTTCCTTTCTCACACTCTGCACCTGCACTCTGACTCTGTCAACGATTGCACCTTTGATGTCATTCCCACCAGCAGCTCTGTCCAAAGGTCCTATCGGGCACAAAATAGCCCCTCATATTCCGTAACAGCAGAATTATTTGTGTCATTTTCTAAGGAAAAACCTCAGCTAGTGGGTAGGCCTTACATTCCTCTTGTGGTTTTGCACTACTCTCTCTCTCTCTTCCTCAATCTGTTTCTGATGCTTTTCCAAGACATTCCAGATGTGGGAAAGAGCCTGGTCTGGCTCTGTTGCAGCCACTTTCTACCTCTTGCTGAAAATGCACACTGCTGCTTTGGGATTTTTTAACCTCTCAAGAAGAAATCTTGGCTTTAAAATTGGCTTTATTGTTTTCCTTTTATTCAATACAATTTCAGGATGCAGGCAGTCAGACGACAAGGAGGGCTGGTTGGGTTCCAGTATTCCAAGTGGAAAGATTTCAAGTGTTTGGACACTAATTTGTTTGACTCGACAGTAAAATGTTGAAGCCAGCTGATGCATTTATACCTCAGCAGCAGTGGGAGGAAAATAGCTCTTGTGTTTCACTTGTGGATTATAAAGTAATTTGTTAAACTGTTGCAAGTACTTGTCAGACTTTTGCTTGCACTTGCAACATTTCCAGCAGGGAGAAGCAGTTAATGCCTTTTGTTGTGCCCACATGTTTGTGATGTTATCTGGCCTTGCACAGGTTTAAGGTGAAGTTACATCACTGCCATCTGGAAATTATTATCACAAAGAAATCTACGTGATGTAAGATAGGAAAACACATATGGTCATGTGGTCTGGCCCTGGTCCAAATCTAATTCCATCACTACAGGGGGAAAAAAAGTCGTACCTTAAAAGGTTGACTGAGAGAAACAGATACACAGAGAGAGGGAGGCAGAGATAGAGGGAGTATTTCCTCTCATCTTATCATGAAGTCGTCTTCCCCTTCCTGTATTTGGTCCTGTTTCAGTCACAGTCCAGGAGACATAAACAGTGAACACGCTGGATCTGCTCTGTCGTTTCAGACACGGGGTCATCACGCTGCATCATCATCCCAGCCTCAAACTCTCTGCAGGATGTCCGAGGGAGACGTGACAGTCCTGCCATTCAATCCTGCAGCTCTGGATCTATCAAGACAGGAGAGCCGGACACTTACAAGGCTGTACAGCATGAACGGAGGATATCACCTGAGGATTTTACCTGATGGGACTGTGAGTGGTGGCAGGCAGGAAAATGACCCAAACGGTGAGGAAGGCATTGATTTGTATTCTTTGTTTGGGGGGTGGGCTTGTTGTATATCAGAATCAGGACCAAACTAAAGATGGAGCAGTCCTCTTGCTATGGTGTTTTTTTGGTTTACATGAAGGTTTTTACTTAACTGATGATTTTGAAAGTGTTCTTTGTTGTCCAGTGATTATAAATAAATGAGAAGAAGTGCACATAAGATGCTTTGGTTAGAACTGATTTAGAAAAAGTGATGAATGAAAGAATATGAGAGCAAGGTAATTATTACTTAAGCAACCTTTTCATTGCATATTTATAATCCATGGTGATCGTTCCGCTACAATCTAAGAACACATCTGCGCTCATCAGCCTCTCAGCCCAAAGGCCAACATTTTTGGATTTCCGTTGGAGCCAGCAGAGTTCTAGTCAGAGCTTACTTTATCTTTTGTCACATACTGTTTACAATCCAACAAGCAAATAGAGAAGAGAGACCGGAGTTGGATCTGAGTAATGATGAATAGCGGACTGTAAGGTGAACTTGCATGCAGATATCTGTTTAGTTAAAGCTCAAACTATGTCAGACAATAAGTGATGGATACAGGATTTAATTGGGGCTGAGGTGTTGTGCTTCTTTTTTTTTTTTTTTTGGCCTTCTTACAAATACTTCAGCACTACGTCACCAAAAATTGCCTCTTGTGCTGACAGGCTCTGTATTCTGTCCAGAGTCTGTTAATATAGATTAGTTCCACTATGGCTGCTCAGTAATTACAGTATGTTTTCACATGTGCACACCCTGTGCACATATTTAGAAAGAAGCCTATGTTCCCTGATCATTTGGTAAAGTATTACCACTTTTTTAAACTTAATCATTAAAAAAAAAGCAACAACCTTGTCATATTCATGTGTTGCAGAAGTCCTGGGCCTGAAGGCTGTGAGTGTAGGAGTGGTGGTCATCAAAGGCGAGTTGACTGGAAGATACCTCGCTATGAACAAAAAAGGACGCCTCTACGGATCAGTGAGTTTGTTCTTTTCTTTTAGGTTTGAAACAAAATGACTACCGTGAAGTAAAACTAGTATGAGATGAAAAGTGTCAAATCATGGTAGAGGTGGTGCCAGATGTATCAACGTGAAATAAGAACCCGTGCGTGTGAGATTAAGCTCGATAATCCCTGCAGTTTAGTAATCGTCTGGTTATTTCCAAATCTGCATATGACTGGATATTCTCAACGCTAAAGTCAGAAGACAAATCACCGTGAGCAATTTTTGTCACAATCAATCACCTATGAGTAACATAACCACTTAATAATTACACATTTGTAATATAGATTATTTCTATAGTTAAGCATTTTATTCCATTAACACAGTAAGAGAGATCAGTAGACAAAAGGTTATACTGCTTTTACTCAATACTTTTGTGTGTTTAAAGGGGACATATAAAAAATCCACTTCGACAGTGTTTTTGATTTCAAATTGTGATGTCACAGTGGGATTCTGGTAAAAAAAAAATCCCCTCCCCTCCCCTGATATCTCCACCCCCAGCCTAGAACAAAACTTTTGTGCAGGTCTGCCATTTTTACTCTGATGACAGAGGAGTTATGTCTACCAGTAAAACTCAGTGGGGGCTCATTGCATTTAAAGAGACACACACACCAAAACAGAGCGTACTCAGAGAGCTGGTTTATACAGGGTCACAAACCTCGTCTGGTGCTTGATTCATGTTTTATTTCGACCAAAGCACAGCACAGATGTTTCATTTAGACCACAGGGGACTGTTTGAAAAGGTGGAAAAGGGGTATAATATGTCCTCTTTAAATCCATTTTATCAAGATTTAGAGACTTAATCCCTATTGTGTTTTCTTGTCTCAGCAAGCACTGAACGATGAGTGTTACTTCCTGGAAAAGTATGAAGAAAACAACTACAACACATATCGCTCTCAAAAGTACAACTGGTATGTCGCGCTGAAGAGGAACGGCCAACCCAAAGCAGGACCTGACACCCACCAGGGTCAGAAGGCCGTCTTTTTCCTGCCGAGGCCTGCAGACAGCATGTAAAGAGAGACATCAGCAGGAACTGTGGACATGCTCACTGAAGTCTTTATGTGCACATTAACTGATCCAGGCAAAGTTTCCCATCAAAAGGTTGGTGTAAACCAGTACCAGTAAACAAGGCTGTGACGCCTGGGGCAAAGACTAGCTGTTTTTACAGGTAGTTCAGGCTTTAATTTGATGTATATCAGTTAATTGTTTTTATTCCTCTGCTTTATGGTCAAGTTAAGCACCTTACATTAATAATAACTGGGATACAGTATTAGCTAATATCTGTTCTTCCTATATGCACATTCAGTCCCTTAAACTGCAGAGAGAGAACATTTCTGTGAAGTATATCTGTTCATGTCAGTCTTGATAAATAGATGTTTACTTTGAACCCTGCTCTAAAATACCACTGCTGGAGGACAGCACAAGCTGCTTTTACACAGAAATAGTTTAACAGTTGATCACGTCTGGCATTAAAAGACTATCAGGGCAGTAAACATAAAAGGCAGACCATCTGGATTGAACTAAGAATGAAGAAAGAAAACAAAATCTCCAAAACAGGGAATTATTAATATAATGACTTGAGTGCATTGCTTAATAATACTGCAGTATGGATGGATATTTGCTACTTTTCATCTCGAGCCAGTTTTGTGTTTGTTTTGTGACTACTTTTGGTCTATTTGGAATAGTGCAAAAGGTAATTTTATGAAAGATAAAAGTTCTCCAACTTACATAATATTAGAATATTAACTATCGATCACCACCATAAGGCTAATAGTGTTTTTGAATACTTTAAAGGACCACTGTGTGAGGGATCTACTGACAATCAGAGTAATTTCTAGAAATGAATATTATACTGTGTATAATCACCAGAAACTGTAATTATATGATTTTCATTTCCTGATAAAGCACTTGTTATATCTACAGAAAAAGAAGGGATCCATGGAGTCACCTACATTACTCAGCCTGATTGTACAAGCCAACTTCTAGTTGTCAGAGTAAAAGGCTCTCCTGTTGTTTCAGAGGGGAGACTGAAAAGAGAGAATATCAGTGGTTGTGGTCTGAAACTTAAACCTAAATGCCACTTATTCCAACTAACTGGTGTATACACTAGACAAAGACAAAATGATATAATCGTTGTGCAACAATGCTACTTCTATTCATAGAGGGGTTCTACTGACCAGAGTGAAGAATGTTAATGATAGATTCAATATAATGGTAACTGTATTTTCAGTATGTGCTGGATTCAAGTGTAACTTTGTTTCAGTGAGGTTATTATAATTTTTTTTGTATTTGAAAGAATGATGAAGCAGAAAAAATACAACCAAGACTTAAGTGTGGAGCATTGACTATAAGTAAGAAGAGGGAAAAAGAGAGGGGCCGTATTATGGACTCTTCATCTTTTCCAGACCACAGAAGTCACAAAAAGTTTTCTTTCACAGCAGCTGGTCTGATCTTTAAATGTTTATCTATATTCAGTAAAAACACTATTACTATTACACTATATAGCTGTTACATTATTTTAGGTCAAATGACTTTTGTGAATATTTATAAAGTCTTTCTTGATAATAATTATTATAATATTGCAGAATGTTTTAGATACTTTTAAAATAATAATTTATACGTTGAAGGAGTGGAAAGGCAACATAATCATCAAGTATTATTATTGTTTGAAGTGTATTGAAATGTATCATATAATTTATCCTGTATCCTGTCTATATAAACAATGAAAATGTTTTATCCAGCATCAAATACATCCGTTGCTTTCCCACTGATAAAATGTGAGTTTGTGAAACTGTATGTGACTGTCTGTGTTTATAATAAATTACAACGTTACAGGTGTTAAACAGATGTGTTCGTCCTCTTCAACACAAACATCAGTAATAGCAATGATTAGCCACAAGGTGGGAGCATTGATTCATGTTGAGTTATTGTCACGTCGGTTTGGAACGAGGACTTAAAAAGTGTCACTGTTTCAAGTCTTTGTTTTTTCTATCATGAAGTTTAAATGTCTCACCAAACCTCAGTCAAAACAAAACATAAATAAATATAATAAAAAAATTAGGCAAATCTAAGAGACTGCATGTGTGGTTTGTGGAAGTGTTAGGAATAAATTGTCTTGGTGAATGATGAATGACCTGAGTTCTGTTTAATAATTTGGGGAGTAAAAAAATACAGCGTTTTCATTTTACAGAATAAAAATAAACAATGAATTATTTAAGTGTCGGTTCTTAACTTTTATGTAACCTTCTTGCCTTGATTTGACGACACATTTTCTGAAATTATCGTACTTTTATAGTTTAACACAAATTTTATGAATTAAATAAACAATTTCATGTCTTATCCCAAGCATCATAAATAATCTTTGCAAGAATAACATTTAAGCAAAATGTGTTTTAAAAATGTGATTAATGTCAGAGAAGCTCCTATCAGAAATGTGGACACACGTTTGCTGCAAAGTTTTGTACTGGACAGAGTTTTTATTTTGTGTTTAAATGTAATGTTAAAAGTTAATGCAGCCTCAAAGACTGTGAAGTGAATGGCTTTCTGCATTACTTTTAGTGAAGTCTTGTTGCTTTCCATTTGGAGTGACTGAGTTGGTCAAGTTGTGACAGATGATACCTGAAAAGACTTCTGTTCACCCTGATTGAGTATTCTCACCACATTTTTGGAAGTGATGGAAGTATTTGTCTAATCTCTACTTAATGTGTAACGGCTGGAGCCGTACATGGGCGGAAACGTGAGAAATGAGGCCAGAGTCCCAACACAAAAAAAGATCCTTTTCACAAAAACAAATTGGGGAGGACTTAAAGTGCTATGAGCTTTTAATAACTGTAATATTAAACAGAGACTTAAACAGAGTGAAAATGAGCATTACTGAAAGAGCATTACTCATTAAAGTGTGACAAATAACTCGTTTATAATTTGCAATACTTTAAAATTTCCAGTCAAAGATGTTACTTTCGTGGAGGTAAATTGTAGAGGTCAGATTAGAACTACATTTTGTTACTTACAATCCTTCCTTGCTTTCTCTGATGGTTTACTGGATCATTGGTTTATGTCTCTTCTGAAAAAGTCAGATTAATACTCTTATCGACTAAGATTACAATATATATTCATACATTTAATCATACATTAATTCATACATTTAATCCAATTATAAATTACTGTAAAGTATAAAAGATTAAACTTCAGAACAAGATCAATGTTATTGCATCAGATTGACAAATCTAATAATAATACATAAAAAAAAGGAAAAGACTCTGTATAAGGTGCTAAAGAAAGTGTTTGTTTGAGCTTTGTAAATATTTAGGATTCATTATTTCTACAACTAAGTATTGATACTTGTACTTGAGTAAAAGTTATTTACTGGAATAATGCATTTGCTTTGTTTTATCTTTAATTGTTTTACCTAATGCAGGAACATAAAAAAGTAACACGTTAAAACACAAAGACATAACCACTAAGAGATTCCATTAAATCAAGAATATTTCCTTTTTACAACAACCTTAGTTCCTGCAAAAAAAAAAACAGGTAGTTCTGTCAAATGTGAGGACACTGACCGGACATCGAGCTGCTGGTGGACAAACAGTGACTATTTCACAATCTGCAACCCCTCATTTACAGGACAGTCTCTCCTTCTTCCACCAACCACCCTATGTGGCAGCACACACACACACACACACACACACACACACACACACACACACACACACACACACACACACAAACCTGGTTGGCTGTTGGCCTGCAGGGCTGTGCAGGGCAGGAAGGGAATCATTCACTGTAAACTGAACAAGGACTGGCTTCCTCTGGGAGTCCCCGAGCCTGACAGCAGCCAAGATCCCTGCAACACAAACCACTTTAGCAAACACACACAGTCACACAGTCACACAGTCTCACACACACACACACACACACACACACACACACACACACACACACACACACAGCTCAACTTGTACACACCCTGAAACTGGGAAATATTCCCTCATCAGTTACTCCTCTCTTCCCTCAATCCATCTTTCTTTACTGTACTCTCTCTTTCTCTGTTTTTTTTTTCATTCTGGTTTCCCTGAATTCATTTGCTTAGCACTTTATGAGTTTGTCTACGGGACCTCTATATATTCATCGTTCTGTGTATTTTCTTGTTCTCTTATGTATCCAAATGTATTCACTCTTTCCAGGAAAATTTTGCTGAGCCATGTTCATGGTGGATGTTATCAATGTTGCCGTCTCAATGTGTAACTTTTTGTAAGAAGAAAAAAACAGCTCTGTTTGAAGAGGATCGTTCTCGTGTAAACGTGGCCTTAGTTTGTCTGTGAACTTGTGTTCAATTGTTCTGGCAGACACAGAGACTTTTGGAAACGATGCAGAGAGGGCCACATTTGCTTGTCCATTTGGGTCCTATCATTACTTCCTTGATCTGTATCATCTCAACCTAAGGACCCTTTTACTAGAAGTAAACAAACCACATCATACATGACTAGCCGTGCTATGTTCATTCATTTAGGGGAACACCCAGAGCTGCTCATGCCCTTCTGCACTACAAATAAATTGAACAATCCAAATGTAAAGTTTTATAATTGACCCAACCGAAGCACAGAGCTGAATAGGAGAACATTGTGGCTGCAAGTCATCTGGCGGGAGGACGAGCTTGGTCGCCTGTGGGATTCAAAATCCAAACAGGTGTATGTCTGTAGTCAGCACTTCAGCACAGTTTACTTAAACGTTATTTTCACCTTATCGAAACAGTGTAAGATTGTTTCAGGGGTATGTGTGCAATTGTTTGCATCTGCATGTCCAGCGCACGTTCACCATCAGATGATGTGTATGGTGCATATACAGGACAAAGATTAGTTTTAACAATGGTCATCTGGAAAGCAAATACTTTTTTTTTTTTTTAAACACAGTTTTGAAATGACAGTATGTGATAGTGTGTACATTGGCATTAAAAAATAATATAACAATCAAATGAAAGTACTTCTTTAAAGCAGGGTTATTCAACTCAAAGTTTCACTGGGTGTTACTTTGTCAAAAACTAGCTAAGCTCCACTTTATACTTTTATACTTTACAGTGTTATAATTTTACAGTCTAATGTAAATAGATAACAAAAGTGGCAAAGTATGAGCAGTTTTCAACTTTCAACTTCATGGCCCTTTAGATTCAAGAGAGACATTTTACGCGCTCGCTGTACGCTGTTAGCTAATGTGAGTTTCTCTGTGAACTGCCAGCACAGTTCAAAGTGAGGCTTCAGTGCCTTAATGGCAGGTGTAGGGCAGGTGTTATCATGAGTTAGCCAATCACAGCATGTGTAGATCCTAGATAATTACTGTGCAATTGGTTCAGACCATACAGTACAGTTCAGATGTCTCAAAGTAGGTCAGCAATATGTATATTAGTCTTAGTCTTTCTTTATCATATACAGTAGCAGTAACACCAGTGTAGGCTGGCTCTTGCAGGTCATTGAAAAGTTATTATGTGGCTTATCTGACTTGCAAGCAGCCAGTTAAATAGGACTACAATAAAGCTAACAAAGGCAATTTGAAAAACTCCTCTTATAGGAGATTTACTGAGCCAAAGATTAACAAATAATAAATAATTGTTTGGATGGGGTTAATGTCACTAAATTCCTGTGGTTGCTCTACTCTGCTCCTTACTTCACCCTCATCTTGTTCTGGTGGCCTTGTCATGAAAACAGAGAAGCTTTGTCAACGTAACTGTAGCCTACACATGATAATCTTTTCACCTTTCTACATACACATCCCAGCCACTCACATGCACACACACCGCGACTGAAGCGGAAACAGGGATGCATTTCCGTCAGCTGATCCAGCTGAAAACGCTGACACTGCCCCCCCCCCCTTCTGCTGCTGCTCATCCCTGAGAAGAAAGGGACAGGGGGAGAGAGGGTAAGAAAATAGGGGGACAGAGAGAGAGCGAGAGGCAGCATTTTGACGACCCAGAGGATTGCCAGGATGCTTGTGGTTGGCCCTACAGCAACTGTTTTCCTAATAGATGATTTGTGCTGCATCGACACATTCTGTAGGGGCTCCAAACATGCAGCCTTCCCCCAGAGTGGGATACAGTGGCATTTGTCAACCAAAAGACCCTTTACGATTATTTTAAAGAACTGACAGTTTTTATTTAAAAAGGCAGCAACTGTAAGTGTAAAAAAAACTCCTGAGAGATTTATGCTGCCAAATTTTGTAGTATCTTTAATATTTGAAAAGGGTCTCGCTCACTCACACAAAGCTAAGATTTGCAATCATTTTGGTGAAACAAACGAAAACAAAGCAACAAGCTAAAAGTGTAGATTGTTGTTCAGTGCAGCTCGGAGTCTTCAATGTGTTTGAGTGTAGTGTTCATCAAAGTTGCCACATAAGATGTTTTAAACCAACACCGACAGGTAGGAGTGTGTCTATAGTTCAAGAAGTAAGTATGAATGGTGTGGTTAGCTTAGGTTAGCTTAATTTTGTTCAGTACTTTAGCCTTGAATGTTGGCTCTTGCAGTATGGGCTAAAGAAATCCAAACTAACAAGAAAATTGTGAAAATTCTGAGCTGAGGAGGTTCCGGTCAGTGGTGATGGTGCTCAGAGCTTCCTCCGACTGCTAAGTCTTGATGCTAGGTTATATGCTAATGATATGATGCCTCTTATTGAACATCTAGAATAACTCTTAGCAAGAACATGAGACGTATGTATTCCATAAATTGCAAGCTTGTTCTCAGAGCAATTCAATGAACAAGAAAGACTTGGGCAAATCTCTGAACCAGTTAAGACGTACAAAATGAATATGTGTACAAGCAGCTACTCAACCCATGTTCATGTGAATAGTGGTGATTACCAAATTGAGAGACTGCCCTTAAAGTACTTGTGAAAATTAACCATAAGCATTGTAGAAAGAAATAACTAAAATGATATACCTATTGATTTATTGAATAGGTATAGAAAAAAAGATGTTTACTGAATGTTATTTGGAATATGTCCGCACATGGACAGTCATTATCGCTTCAAAGAGGCTATTAATGAAGGAACAAACCAAACACTGAGAAATGGAGGCTAGAAGAAAGGACTGTTTTCCCCCTGCACT